TCTTGGGTGCCTCTTGAGCCGTCTTGAGATCGTCTGGGGTCGTCTTGGGCGACTCTGGGGCCGTCTTGGGGCCCTCTGGGGCCGTCTCGGGCGTCTCAGGGGCCGTCTTGGGGCAGTCTTGGGGCCGTCTTGGGCCATCTTTGACCGCTCTTGGCGCTGTCTTGGCCGCCTGTTGGGCCGCCACGGGCGCCTGAGGAGCTGTCCTGGGGCCGTTCTGGGCCGTCTTGGACGCGTTTCGGACGCAAAGCACGGGAATTGCAAAAATGCAAGTTTTCCCTAGGGATTGGGAAGATTTCTGCTTGTTCGGGCTCTCTTGGGGCTCGTCTTGGAGCCCACTTGGAGCGTCTTGGGAGGTCTCTTGGGCCGTCGGGAAGGTTTTTGGGGCGTCTTGGAGCGCTCTTGGACCTTCTCGGAGGCCCTCTTGGGCCGTCTTGGGCCGTCTTGGGGCCCTCGTGGTGGCCTCCGGGGGTGTCTCAGAGCGCTCTTGTGCCATCTTGGAGCGTCTCGGAGCGCGCCGGGGCCTGCTGAGGCTCGCAGGGGCCGCCGGGGCGCCTGCTACGCCATTTTGGTCCGAATCGTACTTTTCGCACGCGCGGGGCCCTGCAATGTAGTAGAGACTAGGGCTGACCCGTTGACTACGTCCACTTGCGGGGTGAAGCGTGTGGGGGCCCCTGAGGGTTTGATTAGAACGTGGGGCTCGACCCTTGCATTCGGCGCATGCCTCTGCGTGGTGTTGCTTGCTGCGGCTGTTGCACGTTGTTGGTAATGCTTGCCGCTGCTGCGTGTCGTTGTTGCTTGTGGCTGAAGGATGCTGCTGATGGCCACGTCTGCTTGGTGCGTGCTGCTGACTGCCGACCGTTACCTGCTGCTGATGTTGGCTGATGCTGTGCGCTGATGCTATTGCCTGCTTCGTGTTTCGTGCTGCTGTCTTCGGGTAATGTGGGAGTGTTTTGAGCCGCCCCAGGATGATCTTGAGCCACCTTGAGGCTGTTGCTGGGCAAAGGCTGGAAATTAAGAAGCAGCAGTGGGCCTCCTTTTCGAACGAGGTTCCACAGTGTCTGTGGCCGCCCGAGGAGGTCGGAAGATGCGCGGGGAGAACATCGAGAGCACTGCGAAGCATGCCCACATTGGCCAGCCTGTCCGGAGCACTCTCAGAAAGAACTCCCGGACGAGTCGCCCATTCAGACCAGAGCCTTTGCAAAAGAGGGGTGAAAATAAGAGGCGCATGGGCGCCTTATTTTCCTGGGTGGCCGGCGCGGTCCTAGAGCTCTCTGAGAGACCTTCCCTCGGAAACCTCTTGGAAGCGGTTTGGGGGTGTCTTGCGGCCTCTCGAGGGTATCTTGGGACCTGATTTGGGCCTCTTGGGGGGCGCCTGTTGGGGGCCAGCTGGCGGTTTCGGGGATCATCCTGGAGCGGAGGGCCCGAACTCGCAGTTCGAGTTCCCCCTCGTTCGGCCCTCTTGGGGCCGTGTTGGGCCGTCTTGTGGACCAATTGGGCCGTCTTGGGGCCCTCGTGGGCTGTCTGGGAGCTCGTCTTGAGCCGTCTTGGGGATCTCTTGGGCCGTCTTGGAGCCCTCTTGGGCTGTCTGGGAGCTCTCTCAGGAACCTTTTGGGTCATATTGGCGCGATCTTGGGGGCCCTGTGGCCAGCCTGGAGCGTGGAGACTCCGAAAAAGCGAGAACGCTGAAACCCTTCAAAAACCTGAGGGAAAGCAATGATTTGGGCCTCTCGGGGCCCTTCTTGGGGGCCTCTTCGAGCCCTCTTGGGCCGTCTTCCAGCACTGTGGGGCCTTCTTGGGCGTCTGGGGCGCCTCTTCGGGGCTAGCTGGCGGTTTCTGAGATCATCCTGGAGCGGAGGGCGCGAAATGTTACTTCGAGTTCCCCCTCGTTCGGCCCTCGTGGGGCCGTCTTGGGCCGTCTTGGGAACATCTTGGGCCATCTTGGGGCCCTCGTGGGCTGTCTGGGAGCTCTCTTGGATGCCTATTGCGCCATCTTGGCGCGATCTTGGGGGCCCTGCGGCCAGCTTGAAGCGTGGAGACTCCGAAAAAGCGAGAACGCTTAAACCCTGTAAGGGAAATCGATAACTTTGGCCTCTCGGCTTGGAGGCCTCTCGGAGCCCTCTTGGGCCGTCTTCCGGCACCCGTCTGAAAGCCATGTTGGCGACCTTTTGGACCGTCTGGGGGCGTCTCGGGCCATCTTGGGCCGTAGTGGGGCCCTCAGAAGTTCTCCTGGAGACCCCGGGGCCCGCCGGGGCTGGTTTTGGGCCATCGGGTCTCCGGCCCCTCCCGCACGCGCGACCCCCTGCGTTGTAGCCTAGACTACAGCTGACCCAGACTGCGTCCTCGAAGTCTGCAGGAACTGGCGTGACGGTGGGCATGCTGCCGAGAGGCTTCAAGGATACCTTGGGGCCGTCTTGGGAGTCTCCTGCGGCCTTCTTGGAGCCTCCTTTGGGACGTCTTGGACTCCCATGGGGCCCTCCCAGGCCTCCTGGAGCCATCCAGGAAGCCCTTGGGACCAATGGGAGCTGTCTTGGGGGATCAGGGAAAGTTCGGCGGGCGCCTTGGGGTAAAATTGGTCCGTTCCTGGTCCGCCTTGAGCCCGTGCTGTGGCAATTTTGGCGGCCTCGCGGACCGTCTCGGGAGATACTTGGACCGTCTTGGAGCCCTGTTGGGCAGTCTTGAGGCCCTCCTTGGGGCCTCCCAGACAGTCTCTCGGCTCGTGGGCGATCGGAGGCCCGACAGAAACGAGTGCCCTAAATGATTCAAAAGCCTTGAAAAGGTCAGGAGTTCTTCCTCTTGGAAGCTCTCTCCAGGGTCCCTTCGAGCCGTCTTGGGGCACGCTGGGGGCACCTCGGACTGTCGGGAGGTCAATATGGGGCCGCCTTGGGGCGTTCTTTGGCCTTCTTGAAAAGATCATATCTGGCGCCGTCTTGGTGCCCTCTCAGACGGTCTAGTGGCCTTTGCGGAGCACGGAGCGCCCCGGGGGCGCCTGGAAAGCGCCAGGGCAGCTTAAGACACCCGGGCGTCCACCTTTCCTGCACACGCTGCGCCAGGCTTTGCAAAATCCGCCGACCCCCGCTTGCCGGGGGTGATAAGGCGGGCGAGATTTGGCTGCCCACCCTCCCGAGTTGCCCCTCCCTAGGGGTCCAAACTCTCCTTCCAGGGGGGAGGGGCGCCAACGTACCTCCTGGGCCCTCGGATCATCCGAATCCACTCCAATCCGAGCTGCCTTCCAAGACCACCCAAGAAGGGCTTCAACACGTCGGAGAAGCTTCACACACTTAGGATTGACCCAAAACGACCCAAGCGCCTCCCGAGACGCCCCGAGAACCCTTCCAGCGGACCCCCAAGAACTCCTCCAGAGGCAAAACCTATGGTTTCCATAAAGTGTTAGAACGACTTGCGCAGGTTTGCATTCAACAACTTCTGAAAGCCGACGGACGGCCCGAGAATGCCCCAAAACCTGGTCAAGGCGTCTCCAGAGGCCCCCAAGAGCCCGGAGACGACCCAAGAGCGCGCCGCGACAGCCCGAGTGGCCCTCAAGACGAGAAGCGAAAGAGCGGGATATTGACAAGGCCTCGGGAGCCCTCCCCCACAAGATGGCCCCCAAGACACTCCGACATGCTCCCAAGAGGCCCCCACGAAGATCCCAGAGGGCCCAAAAAGGCCCACTTCAAGAGACCCCCCCCCGTGCCTCCAAGACGCTCCCAATACCCTGTCAGAGGAGGAGAGACCTGGGGGAGACTTGCAAGGATATCCAAGCCCAAAACGCCCGAAACCCATCTCGTCATGTAACCTTCTAGCCCCTACCTCGCCCTAGCAATCTCCATGGGCTCCGAACTTCGTCTTGGGGTCGCCAGAAGTGGCGTAAGCCTCTTGAATAAACAGACTAGGAATGAATCAGGGACTACCGTCCACGAAATCTGTTCGAACTGGCATGTGATGTGATGGCGGAAATGCTTCCAAAGCCTTCATGATGACGTCGGGCACGGGACCCGAGCAGCGAGAAGGGAGAGGCGACCAAGAAGCAAGCAGGGATAAGGAGGAGCGAGGGGCAGCAAGTCAGGATTTTGTTTTTCCCCCCCCCGCCCCCGCAGCACTCTGTTTGGAATCCGCTTCCCCTCATGGGGGCTAGTCGAGGAGGGCAGCTCTGCCGCTATAGAGGGGCAGCAAGTCAGGAGGAAAGATGTTGAGGCCCTCGTGGGGTCGCGAGGGCTGGCAGGAGGGAGATGCGAGGGGGGAGGAACGAGCTTGTAGAGAGGAGGGAGACGAGAGAGAGGTGCAAGCAACGAGGAGTGCGAGGAGCAAGGGGCAAGAAGAGAGAGAGGCGAGGAGCGAGGGGCTCAGAGGAGCGCCTGGGAGCCTGGGGAACCGCCATGAGGGTTCCGTGGACTACTTTCCACGAAAGAGGAGTCGCATCGCTTGCCGATTTCTCTAACCTATAACGCAACGTGTCGGCGCAACCTCTGGCCATGACAGATCCTCCCAGCCTGATGCCCTGGTTTGTTTTCCAAGACGAAGGAACTCCTAAGTGATGGGCGCGCGCTGTGGCCCTCTCGGGAGCCCCTCGCTGGGCCCGGCTGGGCTCCGAACCCTGTCGGGAGAGCGTCTGGAGGGCAGGAGCCGCGAGAAGTGGGCAGCTTCAGGCTCGGGAGGCTCGGAGACGCCCCCAGAAGCCCGGGCCATGGTAGAGCTGCCGAGGCGACTTGCTCTTTGAAGGTCCTTGTCAACGCAAACACTCCCCCACAACAGACCACCTGAATGAGTCGGCTGCCAGAAATGCACGGTCCTTGAAATGGCGTGGCCAAGTGCCGTCGTCAAGGAAGTGCCCAGGAAACTCGTAGTCCCAAGAAGGAGAAGCGAGGAGGAGGTGGAGGAAGAGGAGGAGGAGGTGGAGGAGGAGGAGGAGGGGGAGGAGGAGGAGGAGGATGAGGAGGAGGAGGAGGAGGAGGAGGGGCTAAGGCGCTGTGTTACTGGCACGCGCTGCCCAAAATAAGTTGTAGAGATGATATCGCGCTCCAACGTCGCTTGCCACATCTCGCCGAGCAGCACCAGAGCCCACTGCCACTGCCCGTCCTTCGCGCAGGCGCTGATCCCAGCGTTGTAGCTGACGTCGTTGGGCCTCAATGTTGCCTCCCGCATCTCTCTCAGCAGCGCCAGAGCCTGCTGCCACTGCTCACCGTTCGCGCACGCGCTAATCATAGTGCTTAAGCTCACAACGTCAGGCTTCAATGTCACTTCCCACATCTCGCTGAACAGCCCTAAAGCGTGCTGCCACTGTTTACATTTCCCGCACGCGCTGATTGCAGCGTTGTAGCTGACGACGTTAGGCCCCATCCTTGCCGCCCACATCTCGCGAAGCATCCCCAGAGCCCACTGCCACTGCTCACCTTTCGCGCAGGCGCTGACTGCACTGCTGTAGCTAACGATCTCGGGCTGTAATCTCACCTGCCGCATCTCGCTGAGCAGTGCCAGCGCCCGCTGCCACTGCTCGCCCTTCGCGCACGCGTTTATCCCAGCACTGTAGCTGATGACGTTGTGCCTGCATCTCGCCTCCCACGTCTCGCTTAGCAAAGTCAGAGCACACTGCCACCGCTCACCGTTCGCGCACGCGCTGATTGCAGCGTTGTAGCTGAAGACGTCTGGCTCCCACGTCGCCTCCATGGCCTCGCTTAGCAGCGCCAGAGCCCGCTGCCACTGCTCGCCTTTATCGCATGCGCTGATCGCAGCACTGTAGCTCACGACGCTGGGCTCCATCCTCGCCTCCCCCATCTCGCTGAGCAGCGCTAGAGCCCGCTGCCACTGGCCGCCTTTCTCGCACGCACTGATCCCCCCGTTGTAGCTAAAGACGTTGGCCTTCACCTTTGCCTCCCACATCTTGCTTAGCAGACCTACAGCCCGCTGCCACTGCTCACATTTTCCACACGCGCTGATTGCAGCGCTGTAGCTGAAGACGTCGGGCTCAATATAATTCTCCGACGCCTCGCTGAGCAGCCCTAAAGCCCGCTGCCACTGCTCACCTCTCTCGCACGCGCTGATCGCAGCATTGTAGCTGACCAGGATAAACCTGTTGACTGAATCCGCGGAAGGCACTGTCGGGGAAAGCGCACTGCAGATGGGATGGTTCGCCTCGGAGCGGGGCACCTTGCTCTTCTCCGATGACACGATTCGCAGCAGCAGCAGCAGCAGCAGCAGGAGCAGGAGGGTGTTAAACCAGCAATTGCACAAGTAGAAGCAGCAACAGCAGGAGCAGGGCCGCAGGAAGGCGAACACCAGCCAGAGCAGCAACAGAGTCACCGCAGGAGGCGCATCAGCTGGAGACCGCAGCCGGAGCGCAGCCGAGGGCAAGGGCATGATCTGCACAAGGCCCGGGGAGCCAAGGGGGAGAGTCGAGAAAACACGATGATGCCCCAGAACTGGGGGCGCATGGGGGCTGAAGTGGAGGAACGACAAACGACCCAAGCCATAAACAGTCGGATGTCCACGGGGGTTCCTGAGGCGGCGCTGGACCCCTTCCGACGCGAGGAGCGCGAAGCCTTCGTGTCTTCAGAAAGCTGCGGACATCTTGGCACCATTGTGAAGAACGTTCGACGGGTCCACAGCTCAGGACGGGGGTCCTAACATTGGCTGGGTCGTGACCGACGCGCCAAGAGGAATTTCGCGGCAGAGGTGCCCCGCCGTTTGCAGAGCTATGCTCGCGACATTGACTTTAAGCCGGATGCGCTGTGTGTGATAACAGGCCTTGGCTGGGTTCGCCCCTGGGCTCCGCGGGGGGCCCTAGAAGTAAAACCAAATTCAGAGAGGCTACTGGCATCGGGCTCCAACTTCGTTTCAATAATTTCGCTGAGGAGCGACAGTGCCCATTGCCACTGACTGCTTTTCCCGCATGTGCTGACAGTCGCAGTGTAATGGACTCTGCTGATTTCCGTCTTTAGTTGGAACGCATCGCGGAGCAGATGTAACGCGGTGTTCCACTGTCGTGCCTTCCCGCATTTCTTTATAGACTCCTCGAGGGACGAGGCGCCTGGTCGAGATCCTCTGTGGATGTCCAGCATGGGGATCTGGAGCCCCATCGCCCGAGGACGTGGATCGAGCCAAATAAGTAGGCGGGCGAAGAAAGGGGAGGGGAGACGCGTGAGGGGAGCAAGGGGGGCCAAAGGGAGACAAGGGACAGCGGAGGGGCGGGGCAGGCCAGCAGGGACAGGGCAACAGGCGGAACAACACGCAGACAGAGTGCAGGGTAGTATGCAGGGCAGTGTGCAGGGCTGTCATAAGTGCGCAGGACATTACCCAGGGGAACAGGCAGACCATGGTCACTTCCATCATCACGGACATCCACCTACGAAACTCGCCGTCGCCAGCGCCAACACATAAACAAATACACGACGGCATGGTAGCAGCAATGGAAACGCCAACGTGGGCAAGAAATAGAGCCAACGACGATCGCCACAACAACGACGATGACGATAACTACCATGATGCACATGCGGATCTACGGGATGATTGCAAGTTGCGGATTGAGCATCGGCGCGCGATGGACAACCAAGAGGATAAACCAAAGTACGCTGTTCTCAAAAACTTGTTGCTCGCACAGGGCGATCGGCTACTGGAACGCATGGCAAAAGTAAAAGCGCACAGTTCGGCCGTGCGCGAACGCACCCCGTTCCACGCGCAGATGCAGACAACCACTGTGATTGATGATGTTTTTGTGTATTGGCCCCAAAAAAGCACCCTAAGGGTCAAACGGCAGCGAGCGGCGCACGTACGTGTCATGCACACACACTATCACACAGGTAAAACTTTGTCAAGAGCTGACCTTTTGGGCGCGGCGTATCGCGCCCACAAACTCGCAGGCCGTCAGAGGGCAGCAGGAGGCGCCCCCGCTGGGGAACGAGTCAGAGGCGGCCCATCGGCCCAGTACCACCTCTTAGGCAGGATGGTCTTCACTCAGTGCCGTCACTTCCCTGTGTCAGGATAGTGTTCACTGCGGATATTACTTCTGCGGCGTAGTAGTGTTCAGTCTGGCCCTCGCAAGCTGTTTCTTTGCTGTCTTAAGCGCCGACTCGGGGTTCGGTGTTATACCATAGGTATACGTAAGATATCGAATAAGGAATCACTAGACATGGCCTTTGTAAGACTATCCACCGCCATAATGCCAGCGTCGACCCATTGTATTCCGGCACAGGAAAATCTGGGACATGAGATCTCAACTTCCCCTTGTCCACGGGTCCATATATCTCGGCGTAAACTACTAAGATCAATACTCAAGCGCTTGTCTTCCTCTTACCTACCGTTGGCGCATTCAAATGCTCTTCCAAGCTGTTGCAGTCTGTCATCCACAGATGCCTCCTAGTCATCGCAGAAATCTCCCCCCAATCGGGAGAAAGCTTGCGCCCGGCACCAAGCATGCCACGAGCGTCAGCGACGGCGGCACGGATGCGCACACCTGACTCTACACCCCAAAAACATGCCAAAGTCTCCGCCTGAAGGCCAGATGTACATACACGCCCGATGGCCTAATTCGACAGACATATAGGGTGACCACGATCACTGCCCCCCACGACAAACCCAGGCCAGGCCAGACCATTGAATCTAGCCCACTGTGACCTGAATGACTCAAGCTGACCTTCAACGACGTCGGTCTCTCCTACCCAGCTGGCGTCGGGACCTGCAAGAACTATCATGCCCTTACCCCACTTAACTGCACCTTCATTTTACACAAGTCAACTTTCTGAAGACTGCAATGCCTCTTCCAAGACACGTTTCACCTCCTTGAGATGAAGAGCCTTTTCGCGGTTCACCTGTGTAATCGACTCACGCGATAAAGTAGCCCTGGCCTGCATCGCCGTGTAACCCATGATGGAGCTCCAACGACTGACCTGAGTTGGGATACCCCTCCCTCATTACATCTCATGGCAAGGGGACTATTCCTGGGGTGGGGTGCGGCCTCAACCTTCTCATCGTCATCCTTCTGCACCGACGTGAACAGTACAATCCGCATCTTAGACAGCTTCTAATCCACAATAGCGGAAATCCCCCGACTTCACTTCTCGCATGTCAAGCTCTGCCAGTACTGAATCAACAAAGTCCTGGCTCTCGTTGTCCGCAGCCCACAAGATGTTATCCACATGGGCGCCTAACACGAACGTGATCTCACCCACGCTATCTGCGATGCTGAAGAGAGCTGGCATACTACGATTCTCCCTCAAACCACGCGCCCTGCAACGTTGCCCCCTCTTCCCCCATGAACCTTTACCCGCGTCACGGGCACCGAAGACGGACACGCGGGCGATAAGCGTTCCGCCCTCCGGGACCACTCCTAATAAATCTGATTGTGGCTTGAGCAACATGAGGCGGTCGAGTTCCCGCCCCTGGAAGCACGCGGAAGTAATGTCGGCACATGCCAGAGTCTCGTTCGCTCCTGCACCCCAAGATATTAGCAACCTTGAACCTTCAAATTCACACGTCGGCAACTCCGCCCGCAGACCAAGCGAGAGCGCACCCGGTGGCCCACATGCTCTACGAAGATTCGCGCTCTTACCAATATCGACCCATTGTGTCGGGACCGCGCGATTTCCTCTATCCGAGAGCTTCTGTAGTTCTGTAGGACCTATGGGTACTGCTGCATTAAACTTTCTCCACTTTCCCCATTCGTCGTGTCTCGCACGTCGTAGTTCGCACCTGACGCCTTCCGATTCTCGATGGTATACCAGATTTTGCACTCTTCCATTTCTTCCACGACTGGGTCTTGTTGATGGTATGCTCATTGCAGAATCCTACGAGCGATTCGCGTGGTTTGGCTGTCCTGTTCTGATCCGCACCTGCACCCGCAGTACCAATGCTATCCCATGCCTCGGGCAATGGGCTTACTGTCTAGGGCCCTGGTTCCGGGACTGAGCATGGTGAAACATCTCCTGGCGTCGTCCTCCGCAACTGATGCTGATCTACCTGCCTCGAGTCTCCTACGCAACATATCACTGCGCCGGCGCATTCCATGCGATACATCATCCAACCAAGATCTCTGCAACGGCGTGCGCGTCACTTGCGGTGGCCGCGATGCTCCACGCTCGCCCGGGGGAACTACCACGCCACCTCCATCCTCAACACTCATATCGTCTACATGAACAGCGGGCGGAAACTCCTCCATTGCTGCCTCTAGGACGGCATCTCCTTGGATGGCAGGCAATTATTCTCCTTGTTGACCTTCATGTTCAATGACCTGGTATCTCCCGACGTTCGCCCACGAACGAGCGTCGCTGATTGTCCGGCGGGGCATGGCAACCTCAGTCGCAGCCATGGCGACGAGAAAGACATTGATACGCAATAAATTCCGCCGCAGCACTCGGATGGAGCACGTCGATTGCGACTCAAACTGGAACCCCTCGGCGACGACTCGCGCATTCCCGCCGTCGAACCCGACAGCCCGGGAACCTGTACTCCGCTCGGCGGTGACTTCGCCCGCAGTCGGCCTCTTGCGAAGACACGCCACGTCACCAACCTGGCACATACCTGCGAAAGGCACGGCCTTTCGGAGCACAGCACGCGCTGTCCGACTCCCGACGTCGCGCTCGGCACATACCTTTCGCGCTGCAGATCGAATTACTGCCCGGCATGAAAATTCGCCAGACCTGTCCTCAGCAACGCGAGACAGCACGCCTAAGTCAAAGGCTTCATCGTCGTCGAACTGACTCCCTGGCACACGGCGTAATCGTCTGAGAACCCTATGTGATGGTGAGAACCCTGCTAGATGGAAACATCTCGTTCTTCGCACTGACAACTTCTGCGGCTGCTTCCATATCCTCCTCAAACCCACCTCGCGGCCTTTCAGCGACGCTGGCGCGCCCGCGCGCGCGGGCTGGCGAGACCGAGCGGATCGCGTTGGATCGAGGACTGAACAACCGAGGTGTGTTCTTACAATGGGTTAAGTGCCAAGGGATCGACCTCCGCGACGCAGGGGTCGAATCCCCGGAGCACATCAGACGCGCTGAGAGGCGCGGTGGACTATGGGAGAACGTTTTCAAGAAGGTGGTACACGACCGGAACGTCGTTGAGGATGGCGCGCCGCCGCCATGGCGCGCGAACGCGACACGTTGGAACGTGGACCCTTGACAGATGATGTTCAGGAAGGTGCACTTTTCTCCGCTACTGTCCTTGACCCCGACGCAATTAATACCGACTTCATGACTGAAACTGAACTTCTTGGGCATAGCGACCTTCTAGGCTTGAGCTAGCGGCTTGTGGCGCTCACAAGACCTCCTTCTGACTCCGGCTCTCCGGGGAACGGCAGCTCCCCCAGGATGTCCCGTTCTTCATCCCTGCGCAGCTCCTGTGACTCGACAGCGACGTCCGCGTCGACACGGACTGAATCGAGCGGCGCGTCTATTCTCTCCCCCCGGCAGCCTCAGCTGGGGAGGCGGTCACAGTGACGAGATCTAGCCGTATATGATGTCCACGGCCACGCAAGAGTTCAAGGAGCCTAGGTGAGCGAGTACCAGGGTCTGACTTCAAACAGGAGGTCAGCGCATCCGTCACGCAAAAGCTCGAGCAAGCAACTCAATAACCAAGTGTAGCGGTGACGGGGCCACTATTCTTTGACAACTCCTCAAAGCAACTACGGATAACGCGGATGTTATGACCAGTGGCGCGAACGATGATGAGATCGGGACTGCACTCGATGATTTCTACGCATGCGCCCCAGGATGGACGAATCACAGCATCCTCCGCCGCGCCGTCCGCGCTGGCGGCCCACGCAACGGCGAGGCCAACGATGAAGCACAGCACATTGCCCACGGAGAAGTGGCCCGCGAGCGGCGCCTTGACGTTCGTCAAACACATCGTGCTGATGGCGTCCTTCTTGTCCACATTGACCAGCCCGGCACAAAAGTGCTCGCGCTTCTTCGCGTTCATAGTGGTCATATGATGCTCATCAAGTTTGAGCGGCACACGCAAACAAGCACTTCCGTCATGCTGTATAGAACGCGGCTGGGTGAATACGCACACCCTGTCATAGTCCTGCGCATCACACCATGAATCCATGAGCGCGCATTCCTCGAGCTGCCCCGACTTCTTCGTCTCCGCATTGCGGCCCATAATAC